CGCACGTAGCGATCGACTTACTATTATCCTGGCAACCTTTATTATAAAAACGTTTTTCCGCCTACAGTGTTGCCATTATTCGCTTGGAAATCCTTGAGTTTGTTGATCAAAAATTTTCAACAAACGATTTCCAAGCCAAAGTCTGAGACACATATGTCCCAGCCGTAGTTAATGGTGGGATACGTATGTCCCGCACGTAGCGATCGACTTACTATAAGCTGACTTATTATCCTGGCAAACTTTATTATATGAAATAGTGAAATAGATTGTACATCGTGTGGTACAGGGTAAAGCATTCTTTGCATAACCCAACATTACACATTGGGCAACTCATATTTGTTCTTCTGTGTACAACGAGCACGGCGGTGTCATCATTTTCCAACTATTGGAAGATGATCCCCAATATTCAGGAGATTCTAAGTACTTTTTAACCCAGCAGTAATTTTTAGACTTTTAGTGGGACTCATATGTAGCGTTAGTAGTCAAAGGGTTAAAACTTCACTCGTTCTGGTAAAAGTAAAACGTGCTGTTGTACGTTTATTCTTTAGCATATCAACATTCATTTTTACCTTTAAATGCAAACCCACTTAAAATTTGCAATTTTATCAAAATACCTGGCAAATCCCACATAAAGTGTTTACTCAACAATCCCGAAAATATAATTCTATACAATAAAAATAAATAAAGAAAGGTCGTAACATATACAGTAAACCAAAATTATTTCAAGCATAAATGCGTATTTACATACTGAAGACGATTAAATGCCTGACCTTTTCAATGGAAAGGTAAAATAATAAAATTTTACCTCTATAATAATGTAATGCAAATAACACAATACTTTCTCAACTATGTGTAAATAGAATCCCGGTTGGCTCGCCATTTTCTATGTCATGAATGCAACTCAAAATTTTTTTAATCATTAAATATTTCTTACTTAACTAACTGCAGCGGGCTTCGACGTACAATGTTAAGTCAAATACGATAAAATAAGACACCCTTCTGGACTTCTTTAACATTTAATTCAATTCTGTACATTTACAAATTATTCATACCCACAGTAACTTAAAAACTTTACTTACCTGCATGTCGAGAATTAAGTCTGGCAAGCTTAAATCTAACTAGATCTCTTTTAGAATTCCAACGTCGCATTTTAAAAACAGGGGACCTCATTTCAGTCATTCAGACACAAAACAGAACTCAACTACATAACGCATTGCTATAAACTTAACTTTAGAGGCGAGGTACTCTCAAGAACCTTCGACAACTTTCGGTACATCGCGTGCAAAATCCTCGGACCCAAAACCATGCAACTGATATTCAGTTACCGTAGCGGCCATGTGCATTCTTGCCAATACGTCAAAGACCCCACAAGTACCCATTCTTTCAATTTCTTAAACCAGCTGTTGTTTCACTGTTAAATATTAATGCGTGTTCTGGTAATGTTCTATAACGCACTTCAGTGTCTACTGTATTACAAATTTCATGTGAATTGTCTTAATTTAGCAACCCAAGTAAAATAGCTTTCATTTAGTCCTTCGGGGTTTTTACTTCTCCATGCTGTATTTCTCTTTCTCCAACTTGTTAAGATGATACTAAACTACGTCCTAGAACTTCGAGAATAAGTGAAAAAAAGTTCTAGACATAGAAATACTCTTTAGTTTATAGCTTGAAACCATTTTAGGAAATCAGTCTCAACATCTCCATTTTTTTCCACTTGCAAGTTATTCATTAATTATAATGTCTTGTCCAAGTAAATTGCAAACGTAGTTTTTCTTTGTCTGCAATAACCAAGAACGTAAAATCTTTTAACAATATATCCTTTTCTTTCAGGCATAAGTCCTTTTGCTTGGGATTTGACATGTTACTAGTTAAGCACCGAAGAAGTTTAAAAAATGCTTGTTTCAGTGATATATTCAAATCTAAAAGCTTACATAAGTAGCCATCAGAAAGAATCCTCCTTAGCTTACCTGCAACACAGCAATAACACTTTTCTTTCCTTTTGTCACAAAAAGTTGTGAACGGAGACTCGCCTGCAGCATCTTGCGTTCATAGCTGTGAAATCAACATTACTGTTTCATATTGATAAAACAATATTTCATCATCAGTTATCAGTGTTCAAGAAATCTGGATCCTTTCCAGCAGCCTTAATCAAACATCGGCGATTCTGTACTTGGAAAATAAGAACAAACTTTTGTTTCCCTCTCAACCTTCTTCACAACAGTGCAGAAGAAGAAAATTAAAAAAAAAAAAATAAATAAATAAATAAATAAAAATAAAAAAAAAAAAATAAGCAATTTTGCTTATTAGGTGAGATCCTCAATAAACTTTCAATGACATATATCTTGCCCTTAGAACTATAATTAAGAAGACTACCCACATACAGTCTCAGAGAGAACATGCAACACCTGATCCTCATAGACTTAAACTAATGGTAAACAGTACCTGCAAAAAGATGGACAGATACAGTAGCTAAACACTGGAATTTCATAACACGTCAACTAGTCAGTCATTTGATGAACATTGGAAATGTGTACAACAAGCATAAAATCAGTAAAATATTAAAACTTATAACCTGAATACCACTGTTAAAAGAACAAGAAAATATGGTGGTGCAACAGAACACCAAAATGTGTTTTAAACTAAAACATGCGACACACTTAAAATATAAGCAACATGCACTCGCCTTTTATGTTCAAAGTAAACGCGATTTCCAACTTTTAAGAATTTTGATACATTTGCTCAGGTAATAAATCACCACTTGTAGCATTCCATTTTATATTCAGTTGTTCCTCTGATAATAATTGCAAACTATACGGCTTATACAATAACTGGCATAGACTGTTCTATTAGCTTACAAGTGCCCTTACAACCATAGTTTTTCATTCATACAAGTTTTTGATTTTTCAAAGGGGAAGGGTCACGTGTGGTGTATGATCACATGACTTTGAAATACACTAATCCTTCAGTTTTGACGAGCACAGTGATCTTGGTTATCATCGTAAAAGGCAGATTCTGTATTTACCTTTTGAAAATGGCCTCAACATTTACTGAAAAGTATTCAGGTACTAAACTTCTTGGAAAGGAAGAGAAGAAAAAATTAAATACAGTATCTATATTATTTCTGTATTACTAAATTAGCAAGTTAATTGTACAAGGTCAAAGCATTCAGAAGTTCTCAGACTAATTAAAGAATGCCTTTTGAAGAACTTTACAGCAACTGGCTGATATGCACAAAAAAGGCCATACAACCAGTCCATCTTACTAGAACAAAACACAAATTTCAGTAGCTTAACCATTTAATCACAGTAAAGCACTTGATTGACCAAGTGCCCAATATATTTACATATGCATTACTTATACAGACCTATCACCGCCATTTAAGACTACAGCTGCATTAAAAGACATTAATTTTTTTTTCGAACAATTTTTATTAAGTATTACCTAATGTTCATCTGCTAGTATTCTGCCTAGTCTATTTTTCTGAATTTTCTTTTATTAAGCATTAATATCATTAATTATATATGTGGTGTTGCGAAATATCAACTCTTAAAGCTGCTGCTGATCTTTCATAAGCTCTTTACCTTTTTTGCCAAATTCTCAATTCTAAGATTGTTGCCAATCTTGGAGCATAAGATTTTTAATCTATCTTTCAAATCATGAAAATAGACTGCTTACAAATTGAGTATGACCATCCCCACATTTTTCAATGAACTCTTCTGGATGACGTGGAGGGCATGTGATAAAAGGAAATGGTATTTAACTGCTGTTGGACAAGGTAAGGTATTATTATTGCATTTACCTTTGCAAGTGATGAAAAGACTGCTGATCTAAGCAAACTGATAGAGGGCAGACTATAATGGCCCAAAGACTCGGAATGAGCATCTCTGAAACTGCACGATAGGTAGATTGTTCACGATCTGCCATTATCAGAATTAATGCAAAGTGGATGAATGATGGTGAAACCAGCAGTAGATGCCAAGTTGTTGAATTTCCAAACATCACCTACGAAAAAGGACGCCAAAGACTGTCCCGCTTAGTGCAGCAAAATCAGTACCAGACAGTGGCTCAGCCGACAGCACAATACAGTATAGGTCCAAGTGCAAGTGTTTTGAAAATCGTTCATGGGACACTGTTGTATATGGGACTGTGTAGCAGATGTCCCAATGGGCTCGGAAACACGGAGATTGGAAGATGATAAGTGGAAGGCATTTGCATACATCCCAATTTCTCAATCATCACGTTGATGGTCATATCACGGTATGCTGTCTTCCAGGTGAACAGTTGCTCCTCCCATACAGCAGTTCAAACACGAGCTGGTAGATAAGGGGATGTTCTCATGGTTGGCTCTGGGACTTACTTATGGTAGAACACACTATGAAATCTGCGGACTATCTGAACCTACTGCAGAACAATTGCACCCTTACATGGCATCTGTCTTCCTAACTGGAAATGGAATCGTTCAACAGGCCATTGCCCCATATCACAAGGTTAAAGCTGCATTGGAGTGGTTCGAGGAGCATAAGAATGAATTCCAATTAATGTCCTTCCCATCTAACTCGCCGGATCTTAACCTGATAGAGCATTTGGGATGTCATGCAGCGGCAGCTCAGAGTCCAAACACCACATTGGAATATCTAGACATCTTTGTGATCACTGCTTAGACATTTGGAACAGGTCTCCAGTCATCTACCAAGAGCTTATGCCAAGGCGAGTTCAAGCTGTTTTGCAGACCAAAGTCTCGCAATACATTATTGAGCAGGTGGTCATGATGTTTTGGCTCTTCAGCGTATTTTCATGAAAAACAATTTGTATAACACAGATTTTGAAAAAATATATGAATTTCTTAATTTTTATCTTCATTTTGTTTTTAATAAATACTAACCCTATTGGATATTAAAAAAAATGCATTTCTAGTGTCACACAATATAAATTCTGATAAAAGATACTACTTTTCATACTTTAAATGTGTTCATTTAAATAAATAATTTCTCACAAAAGATGCAAATATTTCTTTATTTTTTTGTCAAGATTACAAAACAACAGGTGTATGAAATATATTAAGTAAACCAGATGATTAAATAATATAAAATGCCCTACATTTTTTTTTTTTAAGTTGAATTATTTCACTCCCATTTAAATGCACGACTAGAATATATACTGGTTTACTCATGATTATGAAATCAAGATTTTATATCTCAAGCAATTAACTGTACTTCAGTTTCTATATAAGCAATTTTAATCACACATTAATAAAAAGTATTTAAGGTGCCAGATTCACTTACTTTGGGAAAATAAGCAAATTTTGAAGTATATGAACAGTTCATGCTTATAAATTTTAACGTCAATTATGAAACTACTCTTAAGTTTACCTGCAACAAGGCTAATATATCAACAGAATTGATTTCAACCCTTGCAGTACTCATTTTACATATAGAATATTATATAGCTTTTAATAACAATTTTTAAAGAGCAAAGCCTTAAAAAAGTGCTACTGCTTTCATATTTGCAATAAGAAAGTTCACAATATGGCATCATGTTCTCAGAGAATAATAACAACATTGTGTTGCAAATACAAGATCAAATATGCAGCAATCAGTAGTTAACATTTTGGAACAGTATAAAAAATATAAAAATAAGATGAAGAAGGTGAGAGAATAACATGCACCTCTTCAATTGTGTCTCAAAATGTCTACAAATATTAAGTATACAATCACTAACAACATGGAATGAAAGATCATTCCTAATTACACATTGGAGTGTTAGGTAAGTCACCAGTTAAAAGTGAATTAATTCTTTTATCTATTTAATTACTTTCAATTAAACATAGTTGTTAAAAACAGATTTAATAACAATTTTAACAAATAAATATCATCACATGAAATGATAAGGCAGTGTTTACAGCATTCAGATTTGCATATCTGTGTGTGAAGTTTTAATGACTTTCGCTGAATTAAATGATAATGTATTTAAAAATGGTCCATCATTTCTTTAATAGCTTAAGTCTTCTCACTATTAAAATTGCATTGTAGTGCATGATATTGTCGATTCTTGAAACACAACCATACTGAAATACTTTTAAAATAAAAATATCCAAAAAATAAAAATGCAGATTACTACTAATAAAAATATTTGCATCAGAACACATACAATCGATACATGGAATGAATCAATTTGCATGCATATGCTGATTTAACTAAACTAAAAAATTTCAGCTTTAAATAATTACTCACAGAGAAAAGGATCAGAATTTAAAATAATGAATGGAAGACTGCATTAAAACAATAAAATTTCAGATGCTATGGCAATGTCTCAAAAGAAACTGCATTGTGGAATGTCGCAATCCAAACAGTAAAATAATCAGGTACAGATGCCAAGAAAATGACCATTTAAAAGAATTAAGAATTGCCGAATCTTAATTAACATTCATATAACTTTTCATAAGATATGAATTAAAATGCAATATGAAGTTAATATTGAACTTCTGAAACATTATGCGAAGTACAGAGAGATAACCAATGAAATGTTAGTAATAAAAATGAAACATCTATAAGTACTTAAAAAAAAAGAGAGAGAGAAAGAGAGATAGGGCATTTTTATTTCTCTGTTAATTATTAATTATAAAAACAGTGATAAATGGAATTCTTGATGGTCATCCAAGTTCACTTTTAACATACGACAGCATCCACATTTTTCCAATCTCGAAATAGTTCAGAAACCGCATTTGACCGAAACCTCAGAATTTAAAATTAAAAACAAAAAACAAAAAAAATTTACAAGTTATTTACTTTTGTGAATTTCATAAATGTAATATATTTTTATTATTTGTTCTTATTTTCAGTTTTAACATTTAAAAATCTTTCTAAGCTTATTTCTTTAAATATTTTATTCAAAGTTTATTTTTTTATATATAATCTATACAATCAAAACATATTTTGTATAAATAAATAATTTCAGTGATTTATAAATAATGAGATCCGACGTCCCCATTACAGCAAATCAACATATATCAAGATTAGTATTCTTATTTACTGAAGAAGAGATATTTATGCTTTAATAAAATTACGACAAAATAATAAAAAAGTAATAATGAACTTGTTATTTCACACAGGAACACTCAACACTAAAACTAACGTACTAAACAATAGGTATGGTACACATCCCAGTAGAGTCAAGCATTATGGTTTACCTGCATCTTTATAGCTTCAACTTTCGGCAGCAATATATTTCATCTTAAGATAAATTATTAATTATTTTGATGATTAACTAATTATATATTGGAACTATATGTTCAGTATATGCATAGAACATTTTTATTGGTCTACAGGAAATGATTAAATCAGTTACATATAAACTTTCACCACGCCAGTAAAAGGTTAAAATTAGCATAACAGAACTGACAGGAAGACATTAGAATGCTGGAGATGGGGGCAAAAATAGTCGTACTATTCCCACACATCACAAAAGAAAAGGTTACGCAACGATTACACTTTTTTTTAAGCTTTTTTGACATAAAAAAATATAAAATTGCACTGAAATGAGGAAAAGTTTAATTGGTGTATTAAAAACTATATTACTATAATGAAATATGACTTGATGATATAACAATAAATAACAATAGCATCACTGCGCAATCGTAAATTGAAATTTTGGCACTTCAGGAAACATTTTAATTTAAATGTCACTCTTACGGATCATTTCAGATGAAAAACTAGCTTTGGTGAAGAAAAAAAATCATGCGGTAGAATAAATAGCTGAACCCATATTTATCAGGTACAGTTTCTTTTTTGTTTATATCAAACACACAGAAACATAAATAACAAACATATTTTGCACAGAACTTTTTAAACAATAAATGAGGGAAAACTCGACTTCCCCAACTTTTATTGACGGACAACTAGATACTTAAATGCAATACGACACCAAAAATATATAATGGAACAATGAAAAGTATTATGTAGCAATTCAGACAGAACGATCAAGAACTATCAGAATTAACTATCAATACTCATTTACTTTTGTTTCTAAACAGCTTAGCACCTTAAGATTTCTGTATTGCTTAGTACTTAACATTCTTGTGGTTTAAAAGTCTGTCTTTAATTAAGACAAAAACAAAAACATTTTCTCATCCAGATGTTTGTACATCAAAATGCACTAAATAAAAATAAATAGATTACAACACAAACCAATTACATATATATTTTTTTTTATCACAGGAGAAAAATATTTAAATAGATTTAGCTGCGCTAAAACCCAATTAATTAATAAAAATTTTTGGTATTGCAAAAACAAATATTCTTTCTTTGCTTTCGATTACAGTTTTCTGTCATAATAAACAAATATATATGAATATAAATCACTATTCAGTAAAAAAGTGACAACACTTGTGCACACAATGACAATACTTGCACACACAATGATAATATTTGTGCCACAGAAGTAAAATGTCATTTTTTCCCTCAGACAGGAGGTGGCCCCTGAAGATACCGCAGCTGAGGCAGGATGGAAAAATCAAAATTGTTTACATTTTCACAACAACGAGGCTCCATCAAGCATGACATGCAGTACAGAACAACTAAAGCAAACTGAATGGGCACTGCAGCTCTCAAAGAACGCCAGAAACGGGATCGATCTCTAACACACGCCTCAGGATAAGAGTTTTCTGTTGTTTCATCTGTTTTAAAATTTAATCCACTCCTATAAAAAAGTAAATTATATTCATAAAAATAAAAATAAGATTCATATAAGCTTAAAGATTTTATTTGTGAAAATCGTAAATATAACTACATTTTTATTTTCAGGAATAAGCATTTTATAAAGCATATTTCTCCCACAAGATATTTAGAGCCACACAAACTATTTTAACTTCCATATTCTTTACATGTGATAGTTTTCCTTTTATCTAAAGTTAACTTCTTGTTTACTTGTATTCTTAACTCTTGCTGAGTCAGCAGATTAATGGGCATAGTCTAAACAAAGATTAAGGTTGTTTATTGCAGATCCATGGAAAAATTACTATCACAAATCACTAGAATAAAACAAAATTTTAGCGAGAAATTCAAAAAGGAAAAGAAATTAGTGAAATAACCACAATGACACTTAATTTTTCCCTACAACAGCACTTAATTGCATATAATCTGGAAAATATAAATATTATTAAATCATCCATCAAAAATAAACTGCTAAATCATAAAAATGAATTAAGTATACAGCAATTAATTTTTGGTTTCTCATCAATTCCTATCAAAATGTGGGAGTAACAAAAACATTGTTTTTTTCCTGCTTTAAAATGAGTTGTTTTGAAAGCTGATTTAATTTGCATAATAAATTTAGAGGAAGTGTTGTAGTGCTTCACAACCCCCTATGTCCGAAGCTAACTTTATTTGTCTGAATCCACACATTGGGGAATTTCCCCCTCCAAAGAAACTGGAAATTTGAAATATATTTGAAAAATATGCAAGCTTTACATGCAATATCCGTCATATGTTAGACCGAGAAATATAAAAAATGACATGAAATATCTCATTACTTGCACATCAGTTTTGTTCATTTTGTGCAAGTAATGAGATATTTCATGTCATTTTTTATCAATTTTGTTCATTTGCTTCTCCACAGCATGAATAAGTGACAATTAGTCATAAGCACACAATGGCTATTTGAAAGACTCTTTCACACAATCTGTGGTGCAAGACACAAAAATCTGATGACGTCACATGCATCTGTTTGGGATTATTTCCAATTACATAAAAACATATTGCAGCACGTCAGTTTGTATTTCCAGCCTCAAAGCGAATATCAGCTTTTTCGATATCATTGCAACCTCTTCCTCCAACAAAACTGCTGTAAAATTACATTCACAGCCAAACTCAATTTCTAGTAAATAACTTCTAATATATTGGGTCAGTACATAAGTTCGTGCACATTTTTGGTATTGCGAGAGTATGCATGGAATTCACTATGACGCATCTACTAAAACAGTACGATTTTGAACCTGTTGAAACTTGTCATCATTTGACTAACATATTATTCAGTTCATCACCAACTTTCATAAATATCGAACACATTTTAGTACCCATAGAAGATGAATATAGATAATCAGTACAAATGTGCTGTGCTACATTTTTTATTCTCATGTGGTGAATCTGCAGGTCTGCAGCGATAAAAATTAATAGTGTAGATGGTGAACACACTATTAGTGTAAGGACTGCCCAGAAACAGTTTATACATCTTTTCAAAATAGAAATACATCTTTTCAAAACATATTCGTTATTTAAGGGAAGAAAGATTTAGCAAAACTAATAGATAATTTTGATAAACTTTAATATCTGAGCATATAGATAATAATACAAAGAGATGGTTCCCCCCCCCAAAAAAAACTGGCCTTCCCTCTCATTACATAGAACATAACAAAAGAATATGAAAAGTTTCATACCATGACTAGTTTTATTATCATATAATTAAGTATATAATACACTAATAAGTCTAATATGCATCACTAATACACAACAACTCTATTAAATCTGAAAAAAATAATAAATCTGTTTATAAACTAGCTGTAAGATTTACACATTCCCCTACTAGATAAAAAATAGAATTCATAAAAGATGGCTGAATAAATATAACTGTGATTTGAAAATTAGATATCTGCAAAATATGAAAACTCAAAGTTTTGCAACATGCTTAATTAGTAATAATTAAGTAAAAGAAAAAAAATAATAAAAACTTTCAGATAGAATTGAATATTATTTCAGTACATTATTAATTTGTCCCAACAATATGAAACTGATGTAGTAACCTTCTGTGCTGATCTCCAAGAATCTGTACACAGCCATCCTAAATATGACTAGTCTTGTTAAAGACATAATGATACATCATTATTGAACATTACACCTAAAATAGCCATTTCGACATCGCATATGTTGTCAAATTTATACTTACAAAACACCACAACACCTTAAACTGGTACTTGCATAATAGTGCAACCTCTGCAAAATTTCAGGATGTACCAAATCCGGCAAATGCGCACACAACAGTTCTTCACTCGAGCAACATTGCCATTTTTGTATGAAAAGTTTTTATAGAAAAATTGTGGACATTCTTTTGCCTTAAATTCAATCTAATCTATGCATTTGTGGAATTGTCAGAAGTACAAGAAATAGCAGTAAAAGTTCTGCAGGAACACAGGGTTTGCAGTGCAAGAAATTGCAGTAAAAGTTCTGCAGGAACACAGGGTTTGCAGTGCAAGAAATTGCAGTAAAAGTTTTGCAGTAATACAGTGTTTGCTGTAAAATCACTAATGGAAATAACTGTTTTGATTGAATAAATACTAGTCAAAAGGGACATGTGTACATATTAATATTTAATAAGTATATTCTTATAACTGAATAGAACAAGGACTTATGCCATTATTTGTCTGCATATGTAAGAAATCTCAGAATTGTGCCAAGGTGGTCACATTAAATTTACTATTCAATGGAGTATATATTAAAACATAGATAATAAATTTTAAAAATAAATTTTATGAAATAAAATTGCTCACTCTAATTTCAGAACAGGAGGACTCAAATGTAACACAGGTTCTTCAAATTCTTTGTTTTCATCATCAAATACACTACAGCGGATGGTTGCTTTTAATGATTTAGACTCAATGCCCATCAATACATCCAGCTGTTCAGCAACCTGAATTTCTGCAGCCGTGTTTTCATGCAGCGCTTCTGTGGATACCTGAAATATTAGAAAAATGGACAGAATTTTTTTAATACAAAGTAAAGTTTTGGAATGTTAGAATATAAAAAGGGAGCACGAAAACCATTATTTTGAATACATCATATATTATGAAGTTCTAAAATCACACACAAATGTTAAATTCTGAAACATTAATCAAGCCATTTAAGAAAAATTTAATTTTGAATTAGCCTTGATATTTAACCTCAGAAGTTAATTCAGAAGTTAAATGTAGCTGCTACTTGATAAAATAGTTTGAATACATGTAAAATCAAAAATAAAATATAGATTTTTTAAAATTTAACTATAAATAAATATGTTAAACATATACATGCATTTTATAAGGTTATATTCAACACTGTTATTTATATGTAAATTAATTATTTCACTTAGTTGAAACCACTGAAAGTTATGTGATGTATTAGAAAACATTAAAAAAATCTATTAAAACAACCTTCTGCTAAAATTCAGGTACAATCTCACTAAACTTGAAATCGCAACATTAGGTTATCGTGAAATTTACTTGTCACAGATTAGGTTTCTTAAGTTTGTTAACTCTATCAACTGTTTGTGATGGCCACTTTATAAAGAAAATAGCAAATTTCTCTATGGGAATCAGCATCTCTTCAAAATTAAATAATTAAGCAAAATTTTTTTTTAATTTAGATGTTACATGATTTTAATTTCCCTATTTCATATGAGGAACTACTGAATATCATTAGTAGTTATTTATTTATAGAAAAAACAGTGCATTTTCAGTTTAGATAATTTTTATTAAGGTAATGAACGATGTAAAAATTTTTTTAAACTATTTTTTCAGGAAACTATTCTAGAAATACTCCCCCTTCTCTCACATCTTATCCAAATAATGTTAATGTACATAATGTAAAAAAAAAAAAAAAAAAAAAAAAAATTTAAATAAGTTCGTGTATGTGTTTTCATGTATGATATTCATAACAAAAATTTTTGTGAATTCCCAGCCAGAATTTGGAAATGGCTTGGAATGAAAAATTTGGAAATTTTCTTAATAAAATAGAGCCCATGGCCCCAAAAATTAGCCAAACAAGCATTTTTTGCCAATTCATAAAGTAGCCAATGAGTTGGTAACTTTTCGTGAGGAAACCGGGGCAATAATCAGAAAGTAATAAACATTACAGACATTATGGTTTGTTGAAGCAGGAGACTTGAAAAATTAACAATGTCCTCGCTGGAACTCGAACCTGGACCTCTCGAATACGCGCCGAGTGTGATACCGCTACACCACAAAGGCATGCAGAAAGGAGGGAGGAAATACCCTATAGTTTAAGTGTGAACTGTACTAGTGAAACACAACTGGCCACCAAATATTTCAACACAACTTAATATTAAAAATTAATACTCACCTCAGGTTTTGGCAAACTGTCTCCAACTTGAACAGGTTGCCACTGGGTAGCGGTTTCCAAATCTTCATCCATCTCACTTTCAATGGTTAAATGCCAACGTGACTGTAGATCTTGAAGCTTTGTTAACTGTAAACAGTTCCTAAGAGAAAAAATGGAAGTTTTCCTCATATTTAATCAAATTACATAGTTTACCTCTATAACAACAGTTACAGTAAATCACATAGAATTTAATAAAATCAACAGAACTTTCCGATTACCCTGTTTGAAGCAGACTTGCTGTGTGTCTGGTGTATTTTCGACTATACACGCTACTACAGCCAACCCACAAATGTTTGAGTAATTATTTTATATTTAACTACAGTTTTGCTCTATATATCTACCGGAAAAGCATGTAAAATGTTAGTCTTACAGATTTTTGTTTTTCTTATAAATTTCGGTACTAACGTTTAACGCGACCGCCTTGGCGCAATTTGGCGATTTTTTACAGGTTAAAAAAAAAATTAATGATATAAGTCCTCGTTTAACTTAATCGCAAAACTTTAATTATTACATATATATTTCAGATTCTAATTAGGAATTCCACCGAAAAATCATTCTGGTGGAAAATTCGTGGCGATCGCTTTTAACAAAACAATTGTTCCCTTTAGCAATTTTGAGGCAAAATATTTTATTTCTGGAGAAATTAAACAAGCGCATATTTTAGAACTGAATTTAAGCAAAAAAAAAAAAAAAAAAAATCACGGTTCGTCAATCAACACAGTTGGAACCTTGAATAAAACAAAAAGTACGCAGACGAAAACGGCCATGTCGCTTGACAGGAAAATTACCATCACTAAAGGCTGACTGTGGAATTGTTATGTGCGTATCACAATTTGGAACCTTCTATTACGGTAGTTGCGTTACATTTCTTGTTTCTTCTTGACGATTCTAAATTTCTTTCTTGTTTCTTTTAATTATTACACGCTTACACGAAAGGTCTTCCGTTGCGCTAAATTTCTTGTTTATTCTTGACGATTCTAAATTTCTTTCTTGTTTCTTTTAATTATTACACACTTACACGAAAGGTATACCAAACACACAGAAACTTTTCTCACAGAACTTCTACCAAAATCTACTCCAATTAAAAATACGCATTAGTTATTAAAAAAAAACTTAACATTCTATAGGTATTCCAAAAATATCGTTAAAAGGAGTTTATTGATCGGCAATGGAGAACTTCTTGCCAAATTTGATCAGTGTCGGGGGAAAAAAAAAAAAAAATTAAAAATTAAAATTCCATTAAATCTCCAAAACAGCGCTGTCTTGCCAAATCTAGCTAGATTTCAACTTTTCATTCACACTGGCAATATACGCTTAACTGAATATCAAACGAATATGGGGGGGAAGGGGTAGATACATTGATTCCCCAATCCGCCCTTACACTGAAAGCTATTGTTACTGTTAAATTTAAGTAAGTAAAACAAAAATAAACAAATAAAGATTTTAGCCGTCACAAACAAACTTTCTCTCAGGATTTAACCTGCTTTTAAAAATTTTCTTCCGAGAGATTTAAATCATAAAAATACTTGCACAAAGTTTCGTCTTGAAATTTTTGCAATTTGTCATTAACAAAGTGTATATATATATAAATATATTTATATACGTTTCGTGCGGCCGATTGCAACCAAAATACGAAGTGCACATCTACATGTTATAGCAGTCCTATATACAAAATTTCAACGTTCTTAGGCTACTCGTTTTTGAGTTATGCGAGATACATACGTACGTAGAGACACCGCGAAAAATTCTCTTCAGAATTCATTTCAAAGCAGTTTTATAATTTTTTTTTTTTGGAGGAAACGAGTCGGATCTAGCGTAGAAGTGGGTGCCCCTTCGATTAGCGACATTTTGTTTTAAGTTTTAGCGATGAAACCTCACTTCTGGTTACCATGAGAGTTTTAACTTTAGTTTCCTGATTTCATTTAAATGAAAATAGATCGACGTATACATGGACAAATTGAAAGCAGTGCGCAATGCGTAGTTTGTACAATTCTAGGATGTTTTCTTAAGTGAAAACAGATCGATGTGCACATGGATACAAAATTTGTGCAATTCTTTGGCTTCTTATTTTGGTTTTGTGTAGCGGCCATCTTGAAATTGTACCTTCCTGGCGCCGATCTTGGCGTCAAAAAAGAATTTTGAAGCCAAGATCGGAAGAAGAAAAGAAGAAAGCTAAAAAACAAGGAGCACCCAATTGTAAACTTTTACCAAAGAGTTTTACCAGTCTTTTATTCTGTCCTCACGTACAAAATACATCTGTACGTGAGGACAGATGAGCAATTGAGATACGCAAAAACATCGTTAAATTGCATTCTATAGCGGTCAAAATGGATATTTTCGTTGAAATATGCTACTTGAAACGTTTCGTGATTACAATACTTCCTTTTTACTTCGTACAAGGTAGTAAAAATACGATTTCAAAGTTTTTAATGAATATGCTACTAATTCCATGAGAAATTAAGGTGACAAAGCAGAAGATGAAAGCTTCGCCTCATCAACTGAACAGACTGGCTCTGGAAATAAATCAGATAACACATCTGAAGGTGAATTCAAAGATGTTTTGTCAAGCAATAAATCTGGGGAAGAGAGAATTTAAACCTCAATAGTATATCATGGGATCACAAGAAAAAGCGATAAAATTCCGGCATTATAAGACGAAAAGAAATGTACCTTGCAATGAATTCAAAATATATTTGGGCAAGTGAAAAATTTGCGGTGTTTTTATTATTGGAAGAGAGCTCAAAAATGAAAAATAAGAACTTTTAAGAATTAATTCTTAATTTTCTTTACTAAAAATTAAAGAAATATGGGTACTATTCGGTTTCGAGGGCCGTAAAAAAATTGCAGCGAAAATGTACGCGCAAAAGCGCCAAATCTAGCAAACGCGCCCATTTTAACAGCGCGCCAAATCTAGCGTACGCGCTGATTTCAGATTGCGTAAGTTTATATAGTTCTACATTTCTTAAGACGCCACTGAAAAATGCTAGTTTAATTTTTAAATCCTTTTTTGATTTTAAAATCCTTTTTGATATTCTATGGATTTAACAATTTGGGAAGTTGCCCATGATGAAAAGTCTGCAATAGAATTTTGGGTAAAGTGCAGAATGCACCTGCTTACTCAGTATACATTTACACATCGAATTAGTTTTAAATTATTTAATTATTTATTTTAATTTAAAATTAGCTTTAATTTAAAATTAGTTTTTAAGAATTGCACATACTCGGTATCCATGTGCACATCGACCCGACATCACTTAAAAAAAAATCCTAGAATTATACAAAAATGGCACTGCGCACACACCCTTGACTTTATCTATGTACACATCGACCTATTTTCACTTAAAAAGTAAAAGAAAATGACAAAAATCCAATTGTTTTTACCCTTGTAAAAAAGCGGCAAAGCAAATAAGTGGAGCGGATTCTGCACTTTACCGAGAATTATTTTCAAAGAAAAGGAATCATTCATTATAGAAAATTACGTTTTGAACAACCAACGAGATGAAATTATGCTTTAGCGATAAGTCGGTAGCGAAATAGCGATGCAGGCATCCATTCAATCATGTTTAGCCTTTTCATTATAAAATTATAATAATAAAAAGTATTATATGAAATTAACGTTTCATCTAAACTAAAACATCAATCTTAAATAGTTATTTACTATTATACTTCCTTCTTGTCGCAAATATTAGGGTTGCCGCAATTATTTTTGGCAGCATTGGCATCAACAATAGTTTGGCGATTTTTTACGGCCCTCGAAACCGAATAGTACCGAAATATGAATACTACTTATATATAACGGGCGGCCAAAATTAAACTGACAGTGCTCACAATGTTCTGTAGCGCAATCTATTTGCGAGAATGACGCCACATTTTGTAGGAAGATTAAACAAGACCGGGGGGGTGAAGGATTCCACCCCCCCAAAAAAAGAATTAGTTCCAAAAGTTACCGCTAGGGGAATATTTGGCGCTGTTATAGAAAATAGAGTGTTAACAAATGCAAATCAATACGGAAATTACCTTTTATTTTGCACTCAAATGAGGTTCATTGTGGCTGCCGTTGTTGTGGACCACATATTGCATTCTGTGCACAGTATGCACAACAGTAGAAAGTAACATGTCTGCAGGAATCTCCCGTACAGTCCGTGATATGTTATCCTTCAACATAGCCAGGTCCTGGACCACTCCTTGATAGGTCTTGGACTTAAGGTAACCCCATAGCCAGAAGTCGCATGGGATAAGATCAGGCGACCGAGGTGGCCATGCAGTTGGAAAGTAGCGACTAATGACTCTTTCTGTTGTGAATTTCTGTCGTAGCATCTGTTGCACCCGTACAGCAACGTGTGGAGGGGCTCCATCTTGCATGAAAATGATTTCCCCCAGGCATTGTCTTTGCTGAAGTGCCGGAATAACAAAGCTGTTCAACATGTGGCGATATTTCTCTCCGGTAACAGAACAGGTTTCCGGTCCTGTCGGGGTAATGTTCTCATAGAAGAATGAACCTACGATAAATTCCGCTGTGAACCCACACCAAACAGTTACCTATCACGGCCAAGCATCATCCACCTCCATTCTGGCAAGAAAGGTGAGAGCAAAAGTCAATCGCTTATCATGGTCGGGGTACAGTAACTCCTGTACACGGCTGATCTTGTACGGATAGAAGTTGATAATCTTTCCGTAAGATTTTCCAATCGTACTGTAAAGGCATATCCATATTCCATAAGGCATATCCATAATAAAAAGGTAATTTTATTTCGTATTAATTTGCATTTATTAACACTCTATTTTCTATTACACAGCACCAAATATTCCCCTAGCGGTGAATTTTTGAAACTAATTTTTTTTTCGCGGAATCCTTCGTCCCCCGTCTTGTTTAATCTTCCTACAAAATGTGGCGTCATTCTCGCAAATAGATCGCGCTACAGAACACTGTGAGCACTGTCAGTTTAATTATGGCCACCCGGTATATACTTACTAAAAATTAAAAATATAATACTTACTAAAAATTAAAGCAATATGAATTTTTTAAATAAAATGGGAGGGAAAAATTTATTTGCATTCACGTTACCCATAAAGGAAAACATGAAGACTCCTATACAGCCA